AGAGGGTTACTCTCACATTTCCAACCATCAACGCTGCCGCTAATGTTGGTTTTGTGATCACTGCCAGTCCTTTTCTGGCAGTGATTGGCAAACAATTAGTAGATAAAGTGCAAATGGGAATCCAAGGTGGTTGTGGTGGTGGTAAAAGCCAATATTATTTGTTCCCAACAATGATTTAGACTATTAAAAAATACATCACTAATAGCACTAATGCATTGGGAATGGTATAAAAAAAAAAAAAACAACAACAAGGTATAAAAAGTGAACAGAACCCACTGTCACATTATTAGTACTCCTTCTAGTGCTTCATTTTTACTGCTCCCAAACATTTTTCTATTTGTTACCTGTTCAACTGATTTCACCCAAAAAACAACTCATCTGATTCTTGGACAAGCCAACCGCCGCAAAGGTTTAACAATACAGAAACTGATCACATCTCTTTCATAGGCGTGAGATCTATAAAAAATTGAAATTTACCTTATGTGAGGGGATGTGTTTAAATTGGTAATCATTTTTTGTCTTTTTAAAACCCTTCAAATAATAATACTAAGGTTCATATTATTTAATAGTGAGTTCGACTTTTATTGTGAGTAGAGGATAAAAGTTGGGTATGTCCACTACTATTTATTTTTAAGTGTCGTTGTAATTGGGAGGTGTATTTTGAAGAAGGAATGAAGGAAAGATTGAAATAATATTCTCTATATTGTTTTGCTAACATGTGCTTGAATGCCAAAAAAAAAAAATGATAAAAAGTGAAAATTATAACTTATATGACACTTTTAACTAATTTAAAAATATTTTTGAATGAGGTTAAAATTATTATTTTTGAATATTTTACTATTTTAAAAACATCTTTTACACAAATTGTAATTATATTTGTGATTTATTTATTTATTTATTTTTAACATGTAGCACAAATACCAAACCAAACCGGTGCCGATTTGGATTGGGCCTATTTGTCAATCACAAAAGAACTTTGGCCCCTAATCTTCAAGCGGATCAAATTATTCAAATGTGAAATCAAACTTTGGAGCTTTGGGCTAAATTTTCAACAAAATGACAAGCCATTTCATAAGCATGTTAAATTTGTAATAATTTGGGCAATTTACACTCACATCTCCTCCTGAAATTTTTAAAAAATATTGTTAATTCCACCCTCTAGGGTCATACTTGCGGGTTCTCCAAGAGATTTATCCGATTCATATCTCCTCCTGAAATTTTTAAAAAATATTGTTAATTCCACCCTCTAGGGTCATACTTGCGGGTTCTCCAAGAGATTTATCCGATTCATATGGAAAGGGCACTTTATATGAGTCTCAGAATTAGTCAAGTTGTGCGTAAGTTAGCCTAGACATCCAGTCATTAAAAAAAAGAGAATATATATATATATATATATATATTTTCATTCATACAACTAATGAATTATTAATGAAAAATGATATAATTAATTATGTAACTTAAAACCTTAAAGAATGTTAGTGTAATTATGTAAAAAATGTAAGGCTATTTTTTGTTTATAAAAATTTCAATGAGGTAAGTATAATTTATTGTAATTTATTGTAGCCTTTTTATTATAAAAAAATTGTAAATTACGATAAATCTATTTAAATTATGACTCATTTGTGTTTTGCTTATTTAAATTTCAAAACTCAATAGTTAACCACTTCAAAATATTTTCTTAGTATAATTAATCCATTCCATTAGGAATTTGTTAGAAATTTATACAAAATCATGCTATGTATGAAGCACATGACACACTAATTAAAATTTTACGATAATAATACTCTTATTTGGAAATTCAGTTTATATTTTCTCACTAAAATGAGGAAGACAAAGTAAAAGTAAAATCATCAAATAAAAATATTATTATTCTTAAAAATCAATGAGCTTGCTTGTTTCCATTTTTTAATAAATATTTTTCAAAAAATTCTACTTTCTTATTTTTCGTATTTTTTTGTTTTTACTGAATTTTTTTAATATTTTAGGCAATTTTTTTACTTTTTAGACACACCTAACATAAATTCACCTAAAAAGTAAAAAAATTGTAAAAAAAATCTTTTAAAAATTCACGAAATACCAAAAATATAAAAAAATTCAAAAATTTAGTACATTTTTGTATTTTTATGTATTTATTAATTTTTGAAAATATTTTTTCACAATTTTTTTATTTTTTAGATACATCTAAGTAATGTGTATCTAAAAAAGTAAAAAAATGTTTAAATTTTTTAAAATATTTACTAAAAACAAAAAAAACACGAAAATTTAAAAATTCAATTTTCAAAAAATTTAATTCAGAAAACTGAAACCAAACACACTGAATAATAATATCATACCCTTTATATGAACTGTCATGTCCCTTATAAGATAACATTTGAAATGATTTACTGTTTGAGTTTTAAAATTTAAGAAAATAAAATATAAATTAATCTAATTTATGGGGTTAAATGTAATTTATCCTATAGAAAATTCAAAGGAGGTTATTGCAAATAACCCTTAATTTTACTAGGAGTTGAGTGCGATAGATTTATACACAGAATACAGACTACACAGACTGCAGGGCCAATCAACAAATATATCTTAACGGTCCTCTCTCTCTCTCTCTCTCTCTCATCTTCTGTTTCATCGGCCTTTGCGCATTTTTGGGAGGGGAGGGTCTCTCTCTCTCACACTTCTTTATCAGACGAACCAACCCTCAATTTCTTGTAATCTTTCTTCTGATTCTTGATCTGGGTTTTGAACACTTTCACATCAGATCATAGCTCTTCTTGTTTAAATCTTTCTTTGCTTCTTTTAAACTTTCCAAAACCATCTATAAAAATACAAAAAACCCATCTGGGTCTTGGTTCTTATTGACTCCCTCTTCTCATGCTTTTAACAGATTTGCACTCATGGTTCTTCTGATGCCTCACCTGGTTAGTTTAATTCCTATCTTTTTCTTTTTCTTTTTCTCTCTATAATTGTTTTTTTTATTGTACTGTCCCTCGATTTTGTTGTTGATAGTTGCTGGTGTTGCAGGTGAGTAAAGCTAACTGTTATCAGTTTAATTAATTAATTCTTTTATTTAGTTCGATTTAGTTCATCGTTGCTTGGATCTAAACATGCATTCATCTGTGGCTCTTCTATGCCCTGTTATAGATCTTATTGGGTATATGTCAGATTGGGTGTTTTCTTTTTCTTTCTTGGTTTATTTGTTAATCTGAGTCTTTCTTGGGATAATACCAGTATTGCTTTGATTATCAAATTGTCTTTGGTTCAAATTAGTTCAAAGCAGGGTTTTTTTTTTTTTTAATTTTTTGAGACGGGAGAAGAACCCGTCGCAAAAACCATTAATAGGCTTTTGCGACGGTACCAACACAGTCGCAAAAGCTGTCTTATTGAATGTACAGGACACCTTTAGCGACGGTAAACCGTGCCGTCGCCAATACTTATATGATGCCAGAGCCTTTAACGACGGTAATGTTCCCGTCTCAAAAAACTCACTTTTAGCGACGGTAATTACGTGCCGTCGCGAAAAGTGATTTTTTCCCCATTATTTGCGACGGGAAAAATGCCGTCGCAAAAAACACACCTTACCGTCGCAGAAAATAATGGCGACGGTACATACCGTCGCGAAAGGTCTTTTGCAACCCCATCTGTCGCGACCCCCCTTTACCGTCGCAAAAAGCCATATTACCGTCGCAAAAGGTATTAGCGACGGCTTCCGGGAGCATTTGCGACGGCCGTTTACCGTCGCAAAAAACAAATTTTTTTGTAGTGAATGTTAGTGTAATTATGTAAAAAATGTAAGGCTATTTTTTTTTTATAAAAATTTCAATGAGGTAAGTATAATTTATTGTAATTTATCGTAACCTTTTTATTAAAAAAAATTGTAAATTACGATAAATCTATTTAAATTATGACTCATTTGTATTTTGTTTATTTAAATTTCAAAACTCAATAGTTAACCACTTCAAAATATTTTCTTAGTATAATTAATCCATTCCATTAGGAATTTGTTAGAAATTTATACAAAATCATGCTATGTGTAAAGCACATGACACACTAATTAAAATTTTACAATAATAATACTCTTATTTGGAAATTCAGTTTATATTTTCTCACAAAAATGAGGAAGACAAAGTAAAAGTAAAATCATCAAATAAAAATATTATTATTCTTAAAAATCAACGAGCTTGCTTATTTTCATTTTTCAAAAAATATTTTTCAGAAAATTCTACTTTCTTATTTTTCGTATTTTTTTGTTTTTACTGAATTTTTTTAATATTTTAGGCAATTTTTTTACTTTTTAGACACATCTAACATAAATACACTTTTTAGTAAAAAAATTGTAAAAAAAATATTTTAAAAATTCACTAAATACCAAAAATACAAGAATTTAATACATTTTTTTTGTATTTTTATGTATTTATTAATTTTTTAAAATATTCACTAAAAATAAAAAAATACGAAAATTAAAAAATTCAATTTTTAAAAAACTTAATACAAAAAATTCAAACCAAACACACTGAATAAGAGGATCATACCCTTATATGAACTGTCATGTCCCTTTAGGCCAAGTTTGGGAAGACTAAATAAGTGCACTTTTTGTCTTTTTAGACTAAAAAGTTGAGGTTGAAAATATGAATGTTTGGATTAACTTTTTGACTTTTTATGGAAAAATGTGTAATAAAAAATTGTAAAAATTGATTTGTAAGAGAAAATTAGAATTGGGAGTTGTGCAGCCGTAATTGTTGACTTTTGGTGAATAGTGATAACTTTTTAACTTTTTGAGTAATTTTTTGACTTTTTGGCTTTTTGGGGTGTTCCCAAACTTGACCTTAGTGTAATAAGATAACATTTGAAATGATTTACTGTTGAGTTTTAATATTTAAGAAAATAAAATATAAATTAATCTAATTTGTGGGGTTAAATGTAAATTCAAAGGAGGTTATTGCAAATAACCCTTAATTTTACTAGGAGTTGAGTGCGATAGATTTATACACAGAATGCAGACTTCACAGACTGCAGAGCCAATCAACAAATATATCTTAACGCTTCTTTCTCTCTCTCATCTTCTGTTTCATTTTCGTTTTTTGCGCATTTTTGGGAGGGGAGGGTCTCTCTCTCTCTCTCTCACACTTCTTTATCAGACGAACCAACCCTCAATTTCTTGTAATCTTTCTTCTGATTCTTGATCTGGGTTTTGAACACTTTCACATCAGATCATAGCTCTTCTTGTTTAAATCTTTCTTTGCTTCTTTTAAACTTTCCAAAACCATCTATAAAAATACAAAAAACCCATCTGGGTCTTGGTTCTTATTGACTCCCTCTTCTCATGCTTTTAACAGATTTGCACTCATGGTTCTTCTGATGCCTCACCTGGTTAGTTTAATTCCTATCTTTTTCTTTTTCTTTTTCTCTTGTTTTTTTTATTGTACTGTCCCTCGATTTTGTTGTTGATAGTTGTTGGTGTTGCAGGTGAGTAAAGCTAACTGTTATCAGTTTAATTAATTAATTCTTTTATTTAGTTCGATTTAGTTCATCGTTGCTTGGATCTAAACATGCATTCATCTGTGGCTCTTCTATGCCCTGTTATAGATCTTATTGGGTATATGTCAGATTGGGTGTTTTCTTTTTCTTTCTTGGTTTATTTGTTAATCTGAGTCTTTCTTGGGATAATACCAGTATTGCTTTGATTATCAAATTGTCTTTGGTTCAAATTAGTTCAATTTCAGACTGTATAAGGAGGAATTGGGTAGTGTTCTGATTATCAAGTTGTCTTTGATTCAAATCAGTGTAATTTCAGACTGTATAAGGTGGAATTGGGTATTTTTCTTTTTCTTTTTTGGTTTATTTGTTAATCTAAGTCTTTATTGGGATAATACCAGTATTGTTCTTGCTACTTGTCAGGAAAAAAAAGCCAGTATTGTTATGGTTATCATCATCAAGTTATCTTTTGTTCAAATTGGTGTAGTTTCATACTGTTTAAGGAGTAATTGGTATAGTTTTGATATACATGAATGGAATTTTGTTATCTGTAGTTGATTTTAATTGGCTTTTGGCACATATATAAGTTTCTTCTTATCTTCGAGGTCTTTGGGGGAGGGTTTTGGAGGCTGCAGTGGGGAAGGTTGGGGGCGGATTCTTATTTCCGGTTGCTATTTGGATTCTTGCTTTTGCTGTTGATTTGATCTGGTCATATTTATGCATCTCATAAAAATTGAACCAGTCATCTTTGTCTTCTTAGCACAGTCTAAGCAAGATAATGAAGAAAATGAAGTTTTGAGGTAAATAAATATAGCGCTAATCTTTAGGCCACTTGCTTCAGCATGCTCCAATTTTGCTGCAAACAGGCCACTTGCTTCAGCATGCTCCAATTTTGCTGCAAACAGGGGACAATAGAGGCAAAACAAGGTCTTTGCAGGATATGTGTGTACAATCACCCTTCTTATCATTTCTCAAGTTCAAAGGAATGTGGTACTCGACTCTCGGGCCACCAACCGAGCATCGCAATGCACGATAGTGTAGACCACCCGAACTTTTTCCACGCGTCCTCTTTTGGAGAGGCGCGAATTGTGTTCATAGCTACTACAGTTCGAACTCCTGTGACAGTTCTGAATCTAATCTCACAAAGTGCAATGTAAGACTGATAAATCACCAAAGAGTCCAAATTCGGCAAATCGTTTTGGAATATCGATTTTAATCAAAAAGCGCCAAACATGGACTGCTTTGCCAGATTACAGAGTCGCCACCTAAATATTTTGTTTTGGAAAAATTTAGAAAACCCTGTCTCGTGCCAAAGGCTACGTGTCTGTCATCACCAAAGTTGTCTCGCTTCGGGAACTTGGGTACGAGAGGGGAAGGTCCTGAAATGAGCACCCCATCAAAGGATCGGCCTCTACTAAGCATGATATGTTGTTTTATAAACACATTATTCTGATTATTATCTATCTTTACTATGTGATGTGCACATCATACAAGTATAGACTAGATCGCCTGAATTGGAACAGAACAATTCATGTTTGTTTTTGAAAAATGGTTTGGAGTGGCTACCCTCAAGTAGGCTAAAGCGCGGATTTGCCACCCTCAAGTGGGCTTTAAAACATGATGATTTACCACAAACTAGTGGGCTTAAAACTCACATTTTGATGAATTGTTCCAATTCAAGTAATGAAGCCTTCATCCACAGACATTCATGCAGTTAATCAAATAAGCACATAAATTCTCAATTGGCTAGTTTTCTTCTTTGTTTAAATGTACGTGGTTTGCATCATAGTGAGATCATGAATTGTATTTAATTTAGAAAACTCTGGATCTTCTTATATATGTTTTTATATAAGATTCCATCTTCCGCAGGAGGAAGAAAATCTTCATGGTCATAGTGATTAAAAAAATAAAGCAAAATGTTACAAAGTACAAACACATGGTCTTGAGAATCTACTTCCCATAAAAAAGCTTATAGAAATGAGCTTACACATATTGGCCCTGTTTGGTAGGGCTTATTGCCAGCTTATTTCAAGTTTTAGCTTAATTTAAGCTATTTTGATGTATTTGGTTCAGCTTAACAATACAGCTTATAACTTTTTGTAAGTCAAAAATTAACTTATTCTTTGAGTGGGGGAGGAGAAACTTAATTTATAAGTCAAAAATTAGCTTATGTTCACAGCTATAAGCTGTAAGCTATTAGGCTATAAGTTATAATCACTTTCCCACAGCTCTACCAAACGGGGCCATTGTATTAAATACACTCAACTTTTATTACATTTCTCTGATCACCCAAAGTTGTTATAGAAGAAAAACAATTAAAGAAGAAAAGCAACAACAAAATAACTGCAAATGAATTATAGATGTGACAGGTCTATGTTTTTGTCATAAATTTGCCACACATTTATTCAATACTTTGGTGATCTGACAAGTTTGATGCATTAATGTCTTTCCAAATAATATCTCTAAAACCAAATACTCTAGCAAAACAAGAAATCAACTGCTTATGAATCACATCTTCAGCAAGAAGTACCTTATCTGTCTCTCTTCTCAAAGATGTAACATCCTTGTCTGCAATCCCACAAGGCACAATATGCTTGAAGTAGCTTAAATTCGGATCAATGTTAAATGCCAAGCCATGAGAGGTAATCCCAGACGAAATTCGAACTCCGATTGCGCCAATCTTTCTGTCACCTACTCACACACCCGTTTCGCCCGTTTGTCCAGCACGAGCTTTCACACCATATAATGATGAAAATTCAATCATAGTTAACTTGAGTTTCTACACATATTTCCTTGCACCAAGTCCTATATCCCAAAGAGATATAATGGGATATAAGATAGCTTGATGTGGACCGTGGAATGTAATGTCTCCGCCCCTCGGTGTGTAGTGAAGTTCGGCTCCTATGTTTTTTAGGTCAGGTTCAGGGACTAGTAAATTGTGATCGGTTCTCTGTTTGCCAAGCGTATATGTAGGTGGATGTTGTAGGGACAAAATAGTATCAGAAATCTTATGATTTTTTCTGTCTAAGACCAGCTTGTCTTGAAGCTTGAGTGTCTCCAAGTAGTTGACAATGCCCATTTTCCAAACCTTGAGATTTCGAGAAATTCTCATTCCCTGTGAATCATGGCCTAATCAATTTCATTAACACTGTTTGGTTCTTTGTTTGCCAAGCGTATATGTAGTTGGATGTTGTAGGGACAAAATAGTATCAGAAATCTTACGGGTTTTTCTGTCTGAGACCAGCTTGTCTTGAAGCTTGAGTGCCTCCAAGTAGTTGACAGTGCTCATTTTCCAAACCTTGAGACTTCGAGAAATTCTCATTCCCTGTGAATCATGGCATAATCAATTTCATTAACACTGTTTGGTTCTCAAAAACAGTGAAACTGGGATGGAAAGGAAAATAAATTTTTAAAAAGAAATCAAGATTCTTTCTTTGGTTGCCCAGAGAACAATGTTAAGAGGGAAAAAAATAAAAATAAAAACTAGTGTAAAAGTAACCAAGCTCTTCAATCAGCACAACTGTGACCATTTTCATTATACTTTTTAACTAGTTTTCATAGAAATTGTGATTACTTTAGGACATGTTCAGTTTTAACATCATAAATACTGAAAGATTTTAAATTTAAATTCCATAAATAAAAACCATCTGTCATGAACCTAAGTGCAGCAAATAATCTCAAGTTGATGTACAACCCATTAATCAAAACCAAAAAATTTCACTAGTACAATCACAAAAACTCATTCAGGCATTTCATCAAACAAACATAAGCCTAATTGTTTGTGAAACACATTTGTCCACCACATTGAATAAACTAGTTCACAAAGTTCATTGAAAAGCATTAGGCTGTATTTGGTTATAACTTGAAATCATGATTCAGCAATATCACTCACATATGATGTTTGGTAGGTGTTTTATAATCACCATTCGAAAACTCTGCAGAGCGCTCAGGATTTTTTTGTTTTTGAAAATTTTGCCTGACGGGTCGTCCGGCCGGTTGACCGGAATAGTGATTTTTTTTTTTTTTTTTTTCAACAAGAGAGATCCTCGAAGCTCACACTGATGGAAACGAGATTTGCTCTTCAAAAGTCTGAGTGGGAGCACACACTCTACTTTAACAAGAGAAATCCTCGAAGCTCGCACTGATGGAAGCGAGGTCTGTTCCTTGGAAGTCCAAATGGAAGCAATGACTGTCCCTCGGAAGTCCGGGTGGAAGCACACTCTTTTCATTGGCAAAAAAATCCCTCGAAGCTCATACTGATGGAAGCAAGGGCTATTTTTCGAAAGTTCGAGTGGGAACACACACTCTGTTTCAACAAGAAAGACCCTCGAAGCTTGCATTGACGGAAGTAAGAGCTATTCTTCGGAAGTTTGAGTGGGAGCACATACTCGAATCCAAAGTTTAGGGGCTCCAATCCAAACAGCAAAAGCTTACCTTTATAGAAGACGCTCTTCAAGAATCCAAAGTTTAGGGGCTCCAATCCAAACAGAGCTCAAGCGGTTCTTTGGAGGAGATGAGCGTCAAAAACCCTCGACCTTTTTACGAAAACGACAACGTCTATAGGGATCAATTAATTGTTGGGCTTAATTATAATTAAGGAGATTTATTAGAAAATCAAGTATTTGTATCTCCATTAGTTTATAAAATATTTTTGTATGTCAATTAGTCCTACTATTTGGACATTTAATCTACTAAATCTTAATTATCATATTTAAGGTATTTTATGGACATTTTTACAATTACAAATATTTTTTGAACGGTTAGCAATTTAGTAATGTGAATATTCATATTTTACAATGTGAATATTCACATTAATGTGTGAATGTTCACACACATCACGAAATATTCGCACTGAAATGTGAATATTATTAGGTGGTATTTTGATAACTATATCA